TATAAAAAGTTTAGAGAGCAGTATTTGTTCAAAGTGACTGACAATATTACAGGACAAGCTTTGTAATATGAAGGAATTCAAAAAGATTTTGTGAATTGAGTTATTTATCATTTATATTGTTCTGTGTGTTATGAAATCTCTTATTTGGCATAAACAGACATGTGCTGAGACTACTTTATTGTGACACTTTGAGAAATGTGACTAAAAAGTGGACATTCAAAATCTTGCCTCTTTTCTTTGGTTGTGGTATGATTCATCTGTAGAAACCCCCTGTGGTTCTGAATCAGACAGCATCAGAGTCAAGTGTACTCAGAGGTCTGAGAGGCCCAACCAATGGCACAGTTTTTTATTTCTTGGGATTTTTATTGTTGGAGGTGGTGGTGGCTTTTCTTTTTTAAAGTTTGCCATAAACCTAACTCCTCCCTCAAGCAGTCATGTATATGGAGAGGACCTAGTCCAAGTTCGTTGTTAACTACACTGAGGTGGTGATACATGCAGCACTGGCTAGTGCATATTCCTTTAACATAGCTGCTTCGTGTAGCCAAAAAGTTCATCTTTGTACATTCTTCACAGTGGAGGCTTTGGCATCCTTACTAAGATCTAATTACAACATCGTGAGGGAGGTATAAGCAGGTTATACCAGTGTCCTTAGTGCAAGAGAAGGCAGTATCACATGGTAAGAGCCAAAGATTGGAATCATGGGCCCAGATTTGTCTCCTGCTGCTGCCTCTCTATAAGCAAGTTAATAAACTCCTTCCTTGCAATTTCTACTTTACTCATTTGTTAAATGCACATTTTCAAAATAATGTCCCCTTCATGAAGTTGTAAATAACAAATAAAGTACCTAAAAAGTACTCTGCAAAGCTAGAAAATTCTATAGTTTTGAACTGTAGAACAACAAAATTCTGTTGTTGTTGTTGTTGTTGTTGTTGTTGTATTTGGTAATGTGTCTGTTCTCTATCCTAGAAAAGGATCACGTTTACACAAACATATTGTCTACCTCAAAGAATGTGCTGTTGAAACAGTCTGTTTCTGATGATGGTTTGCCTCAAAACTAACAAGCAATTTTATTTTTAAAATTTGAGTTAAAGAACCCAAAAATGAAAAGATAAAGCACATAATGCATGTTAACTGTGAGGCTTAGACTCTGCCATACCATCCCAGCAGGCAGCACTCGGATTTGTCCCTGTCGCATCCCATTAAGGAGCTCCCTCTGATTTCGAAGATATAAATATATGTGGCAACATATGTGGGAAAAAAATGGAAACTGCTGAGTATCAGAATTCGCTGCTTGATTGGAAGCAGAATGATTATTTTTTTCTGATAGTCTAGTTGCCATAGCCTATAAAGTAGAAAGATTATCAACAGCCTTCTTTGTCCCTTTTTCAAATCTGTTCTTGCACACTACCCCTCCATTCTACTTCCCCCATCAAATCACAAATGAAGAAGACATTGTCCAACCCTTGAAGAATTTATGGTGTCGTAGAAACCTAAAATAGTTATGCAGCTAGCTCTGCATGACAGGTGGGCAAGGTCAAGGCCCAGAAATTCAGAGGGTGCAGGATGCCATCCTGTGTCTGCTGAAGCCTCCTGTCCATTCCGTGGTGGTCTTTCAGTACTTTCACAGCATGCCTCAGGATGCTGATGCTTGGCTTCATGAGTCGCTAATGAGAATTTAAACTCCCTGAAGATGGGATCTTCCCCGCTTTGTGTTTCTTAGTCCCTCACTCCACAGCTTTGATTAAGCCTCAAGCAGTATTTGTAGTTCTAACTGTCTTGTACCAGCATTCTGGTTTAGTCAAAAAAGTATCTTAAGATGTATTTAACTCTTTCTTTTTCTTTCTTCTGCCTTTCCAGTTGACCTGCCCCTGTTTTTTCCTCGAGATCAGCCAACTCTCACATTTCAATCCGTCTATCACTTCACCAACAGTGGACAACTTTACTCCCAGGCTCAAAAAAATTACCCATATAGCCCCCGATGGGATGGAAATGAAATGGCCAAAAGAGCAAAGTAAGTGGATCAATTTTTATTTCCTACAGAGAGGGGCAGTTTATATATCCAGTCTAGGGGTCAGCAAGATGCTGTCCACCAGCTAAATTCTGCCCTGACTATATTTTTCTGAAGTGTTATTGAAGTACACCATCTTCTACTTCTTGCTGTTCATGGCTGCCTTCATGCCACAGTGGCAGAGTAGGTAGTAACAATAGAAACTAGCAAAAGTCAGAATTATTTCCTGTTCAGCCTTTTAAAAAAATCCACCAAACCCCTTACCTCATCAGAGAGAAGCTGACCCTTATCCTGTTTCTGTTGATCTCTAAGCTTGGCCAAGACTGCTCCCCACCCCTAACCCCTTTTGTAAATGGATTTTAAGAGTTGTCAGAAACCTACGTTTCTATTCAGATTAGAGAAATACTAGATAGTAGAGTTGTGGATAGTGTTAATGATAAAAATATTAACAGCTTCTTGCATATTTTTAAATGGTGAATTTCAGATAGTGTGTGAATTCCGCTGTCATTTTCTCCTGTGGAGCAGCAGCATCTCTTGGATTGTGTGCTTTGTTGCATTTCTGCTGTGTGTTCCATGGCTATGTTTCTTAGCTGAATAAGGAGATCCAGTGATTGCTTCGGTCTGCTAAAACTGCTCTGAAAGTAGTAGCTTGATGGAGGTTAAAGTCAGCTGGCATTCACAGTTTAAAGGTACAACTATACTCACAAACCTCTCATTATAGAGGGCTCTTGCTTCAGTCATAACAGGTAAATATAGAAATAATTGGTTTTTGTAGTAAGATTTTAGTATCTGGACCATCACTCTATGAACCATTGCCTCCTAGACTGAAGCTGCAGTGGATTGCAATGGTACTTTCCAAAAATAAATCATAGAGTATCATGTGGTTATTACCACTCTATCACTTTATCACTCTAAACAGCCTTATGCACATACCTGTGATTCAAAATGGAGGATGGCAGAGCCAAAGAATCATGCAAATGAAGACTGTCTATAAGCATCCTCTTCATTTGCTTTTATTAAACATCTACTATGTTCCATGCAGTGTGCGCTATTTTGGAATGTCGTAATAATTTAGCCCAGCAAAAGAGATTAATCATACCAAATTTCTGACAGTTTTAAAGCACCTACTAGCAAAACCTGGCCTTCCAGACCTAGAACATTATTGATTACCAGGACTTATTCTTGTCTCCCCCTCTCTGATACCTACTTTCCTTCCAGAGAAGGTATCCTTGATCTCTCATCATCTTTATAGTACAAGACTTCCATGCATTGTAGGCCCAGGTTCTATAATAGTGTCTTTCTCTAGATGTCTTACAACGTGAAATTCATATGTGCAACCCAGAATTGTAATTTGAAATTTGAGTGTGCCCTTTCTCCCTATATTTTCCCTTTATATTCATTATACCAAAGCCTGAAATTCTATTTAAGGAATAAACAAACATGCAAATGGAACTAGTAACAACTATTAAGACTTAACATATGTTGGAAGACAATTGAACAAAGGAAATATAAAGCAAGGTTTCTGTTTGAAATGTTGCAGTTTTTTGTTTTTTGGTTTTTTTTTTTCTGGGCTTTCCCTGTGTATACATAGGATCTACCCTTAAAAGATGGGCCATTATTTGTGGTATGTGCTCCAGAGTCTGAACCAGACGTGTCTTTGTGGTTTCCATGGCAAAGCTATCTTGGTGTACGTGTGTGTGTGTGTGTGTTTTAAGCAGGCACTTTAGCATGTATGAATTGAGGCTTTAAGGCGCTGTAGACCACAAGCCTGTGATTTCAATATAGGAATATCGTAAGTGAAGCCTGTTTATCTTAACAGATTGGTTCAGACTTTCAAGAGACATTTGCTTTATGTTAACACCAGTCTAAAGAAAACATCTGAACTAGTGTTAAAAAAAAAATCTGCCTTCTACTGTAGTAGATCCATTTTAGATGTAATAAAAGAGACAGCAGCGGTTCATGTTAGCTAGAAGAGATAGTTTAAAAGCTCCATTCTTTAACTATACTGAGTAATTGTACTAGCTGTGTCTAAGGCCAGATAATGGGTAATCATAACTAAAAATTGTCCTTTGCAATAGTCTAGAAACTGGTGAAGAGGTATGGAGGGAAGGGATAAACAGAAAGAACAGTTAGCTGAAGCATTCCTTACACACCCTGTTTCTGTATCCTATGAAAATACTGTACACAGTGTGTAAAAGGCTATAATTCACTTGGGGAGTACTGCCCATGATATAAACACTCTTGTGGCTTAGAGCAGCCCCAGAGCCCTTTGAGTGAAATCAGCTGTTTATCCCCGCCTGTAAGAGCACAGTTCTAAACATGTGCATTAAGAAAGGACACTTTCTGGCACTGACCAGGACTTCTCCTACCATAGTGCTTCTTGTTCATGTGTATCTATCAAATTCTGTCTTTAATAAGTATAATACCCTAAAGTGGGTAAGCATAGGCTTTGGGGTCATGCATGCCCCAGTTACTATCATAGAGATTAAGTCTGAAAGCTTTATAGCCTTGAGCAGAGTTCATAACCTCTCCAAATTTCATCTTGGAAGGCAGGTTTGTTCTCCTAGCTTGTTGAATGAACTTGCTAGGAAGGGGCAGTCAGTGAGGTAGCATAAGGAAGGCTGGCGATTTTACTTCTGCTTTGTCCCTCGGTGCCTTTGCTCACCCCTTTCATCCCATTGTATTCTTTCCCCCTGAAATCTGTTCATATTCCAGCCTCCTTCCATATGGCTTTTCTCATATATTCTTAACTCACAGGTAACCTTCTCCATCTTCCTCCAGTTCTGACTGTAATCATATGTTGATCTGGAATATCTTTTGTATTATTTTTAAGTTTTTTCACATCTTTGTATACATCTGTTTCCTAAACCAAATGGTGAGATTATTAAAGGCAAAGACTTCCCATATATATCTTTTTTATTGTAGTACAATTTGTGTATAATTTACAATGCCATGAATAGATGTTTATGTAAAGACAGTCCATAACTTACACTGGTTCAACTTAAAATTTTTCAACTGCATGATATTATGAAAGCAATTATACCTTCAGTAGAAATCTTATTTCAGATTTTGAGTTTTGACCTATTTATGTGATGTTTCATATAATACTTCCATATGCTAGAAAGCAGCAGCAAGCTACAGCTCCAGGGGTAGGGGTAGGGGATAACACTACTCTATGATGTACTATGTTACTAAACTCTGATGTTCCATAGGTTAGATATATAATGAATTTTCTACTTAAGATATTTTCTTTTACATTTATTTACTTATTGGAGTTGTGGTATATTTGTGAAAGTCAGAGGACAACCTACAGGAGTCCATTCTGCCTTTCCACTATGTGGTTTCTAGGGATAGAACTCAGGTTGTCAGATTCGGCAACAACTACCTTTGCCAGCTGAGCCATCTCTCTGCCCATGGGATATTTTCAGTTTACAGTGGGTTTACTGGGATATAACCCCACCATAAATTGGAGAACATCTGTTGCTTATGTTGATAAAATACATACATACTTAGAATTCTTATGTCTTCTTGATCTATTGGTCTGCCTGTCATTATGGAATGACTATATCTAATAAGTCTTCTTTACTTCAAGTCTGCTTTGATGTTAAAAGAATTGTACCGTTTTTTTTTTTCTACAAATTTTGGCATGATACACCTCTCTCATCCCTTTTTGTTTTATCCTATTTGTATTTATTTATCTGTATGTATCTGTAGATTTTGATTTTTTTATCTAGTCTGATAATCTGTGTCCTTTAATAGAAACATTTGGCTTGTTTATATTTAATATAATTAATGAGTTTATTAATTTTAGGAACTACACCTTGCTATTTGTCATTTTTTAATTTCCTTTGTTCTTAGTTCCTTTGTTCTTCTCTTCCTGTGTTCTTTTGATTTGTTGAAGTATTTTATTCATGTGCTGTTCTGTCCCTTTTGTTGACTATTTAGCTATATCTTTTCATATATTTTGGTTAGGTATATAGTAAAAACAACCTTTACCTTGACACAGCCTACTATGAATTAATTCTAATTAATTAATATTAAAACCTAGCTCTGAAGCAGCATAATTCTCTTTATGCCTTCAGTTAGCCTTTGTTCTACTATATCCTTACATGTGGGTTTTGCATGTGAATTCCACAATGAATTGTTGTTGCTTTGGTTTTTAACAATCAACTGATAACAGTCTATTTCTTTTAGAAGAAATTTTTTTAGCAAAAGAAAAGTTACATTCCAATTTATGCTGGGGCTTCCAAATAAAGGAGATAGGAATCAATTTCTTTCCAAAGAAAACTTATTTTTACATCTCTTCAAAACAAACCATCAGAGGTATCCTATCCAATATATAGGCCATGAACACTGAGACTTGCAGTCATCAACGAAAGAATTTCCCACCTGCATGCCCTTCAGCTGCCTCTGCCTTCCCATAGACCTCACAGGTTCTAGTATATCCTCAGACACTTTCATTGGATCATCACTGCAGCCCTGCAGAAAGTCTTACTCCCTTTGATGCAGATTGAAAAGAAGAGGAACCTGAGGCTCAGAGGGACTGACTTTCTTTCCCCAGGGCACACAGCAAGGATTCAGCACCTGAGCTCTGATCTTACTGTACATTCCCAGACAGGCAGACACAGTCCCCAATATCTCTATCATTTGCCTGAAGCCCCTTCCTCGGGGGCCTGGCACTTGAGTAGCATGCTGCAGAGAGGAAATGTATGTGGCAGTCAAAAGCACTGACCCAGAGGTCTTAGCAGCTGGTTTAAACCTGTCTCTGCCATTCAAACTGTGAGACTTGAGAATAACCATAATCTTCCTGAGCCTTTGTCTCCATGTTTATCAACTGGTAAAGCCTTTCTTAGAGGGTTACTGTGAGTGTCATACAGGGTTTATGGTTTTCTGTATTTCAGACTAACAAATTGCCATAAACTTGCCACCCTAAAATACCACAAGTTATTATTCCAGTTTTGATGGGTTTGAAGGCCCATACAACATGCATGGGTTTCCTGTTG